AAGACAAACCACGACACAGGGAGCTCTTGGGAGCTGCTCTGAACAGGGCAGGGTTGGGATGTGGGGTGGGGGTGGGGGTAGGGATGGGAGTGGAGAGGGGGTGGGTGTCAGGGCAGGGAGAGAGCCAAGGCCTTTTTTTCCTTTTGAAAAAGAGCTATCCCACCTTTGTTCCAAGGGAGAATGAAATGTCCATTAAGGCTGGTGACACTGGGAATTTTGTTTCAGCTCAGCTCCTTTTGTTGTGACTCCACGGCAAAGGAGAGGAATCTGGGCTAGGGAGGGTTCAAGCCCAAATAAGAGAGGGGTGTCAGGGCAGGGAGAGAGCCAAGGCCTTTTTTTCCTTTTGAAAAAGAGCTATCCCACCTTTGTTCCAAGGGAGAATGAAATGTCCATTAAGGCTGGTGACACTGGGAATTTTGTTTCAGCTCAGCTCCTTTTGTTGTGACTCCACGGCAAAGGAGAGGAATCTGGGCTAGGGAGGGTTCAAGCCCAAATAAGAGAGAAAACAGATTCCTTCCAAGAATTTTTCTATTGTGTCCCTGAGAATAAATATTTATAGAGAAGGTTCAAGTGAAGTCTGCCACAATGCTCATGGCTTTAAGACTAAGCCTTTGAGAGCACATGTAAAACTATGCTTAAATGAAGACTGATCCAATTAGGCTTCCCAGGGACAACCAAGAAACCTCAAGGTAATTTCCTATCTAAAATCTAATTGTATTCTCAAGTGGAATAGGAATACCACTCTGAATTATCCCAGATCCATAGACTGCAGCAAAAATGTACAGCCAAATTGGATTCTATTTTAAGTAATTAAGTTATTTTCCTTCACAGGATCTATAATTTGCTTTGAACAAATGTGATTTGCCTCAGAAAGATAAGGCATTGCAATTTTTCCTCCAAAATGGATTTTTGGTGCCAGAAACAATTACGAAATGCAGACCAAATATTGCTTTAATTATATCCTACTTATTATTTGAGTGTATGCCAGGAGCGAGTGCCCGATTTGTGTTTCAAACTGAGGTAGATATGGCTTTTATAGTTTAGAAATCCTCTTTAAATGGAGACCAGAGCTGAAATTTACTCAAGAGCCCAGGGCTTGCATAATGGTAAATAGCTAAGGGTGATGTTACATAAGACACCGAAATCTTGTGCAAAATACGGGCAATGGGGAGCTTGCTTCAGTGAACCTTTTGAGCTCCATAAAACACTGACATTAACTTTCAGCTGCTTGGCTGAGCCCTTGAGATGCTAGGTGTTGCAATGGATTAAGAAGAAAAGTGTTGAGATTTGCATGCAAGATACTGCAAGAAGGGTATTTTTGGCAAAGTTAATTTTATAAAGAAAACATTCACTTTTGGCTTTATTTTCTTTCTTTTTTAACAGTTCAGTTGTCTTATGGCCAGGTGTTCTGGCCACCAATGGTGGGTAATGAGTTGGGATGAGAAGTAGAATCAATCTTGACTCTGTCCCCTTGAAAATGCCACGTTATGGAATTGAACCTCAGTTCTCTCGCTGGTGAAAAGGCAGTGATGGAATCTACACTGAGAGGATTAGGTGAGAAGAGCGTATAATGCCTAGCACAGCCTGGGGTTACCCAAGAGCGTGGAAGCAGCAAGATCCAAACACTGCTGTGTACCCGTGCTTTAAAAACACATGCTTATCCTTCTGAGATGTCCTTCACAGGAATGGGTACTGACTGGACATTTCTAAACTTCCAGCTGAATTGGAAAGGGTTAGGGTTTGAGATTTGTTTGCATTTATGAGCGCGAGCACATGTGAGTGCATGAGACAGGTACCCTCAACAGGTCACCCAGTGATCTTCTTCCTTTGGACCCCCAGCTTACCAGAATCTTGGGCGTGTGCACACCCAGAGTTTTCAGGTGGACCAGGATTGGAACCTGAAGTCTACCATGTGGCTTTTACTGCACAATGGTTCAGTAAGCTACTGACTGGGCCACAATAGCTGGGCTATTTTTGATTTTTTTTTTTTTTTTGAAGAGGTTTTTCTTATAGGGCCCATGAGCTTGCCAGAAAGAGACAGAGAGACAGAAAGTGAGAAATCACCCCCCCACCCCTCCCCTCACCCCCGCAGGGGGATGGCCACACCGAAATCCCTCCTCCATTCTCCTTTCGGGATCTTGGGCACACACGCACATATGCCCAGCCTGAGTTTAAGCCACCGGGTCCGGCACTCGAACTGTGGTTGACTACATGGGAGTTCAGCGACACAGCCATTATGCCAACTGATAACCTGATTTATTATTTTTTTTAATAAACCAGAAAGTGTATGTACTTGCCAGAGAGAGAGACAAAGGAAGAGGGAAAAAGCACCCCACCCCCCACCTTGCCATGAGGTGTGGTCATGCTGCAGCCCTTTCTCTTCCACTTTTCCAACGTGTCTGGATTTTGGGCAGGCATGCATATGTGCCCAGTGTTTTTCTTTTTTTTTTTTGGAGAGGTTTTTGCTATAGGGCGCGTGCACTCGCCAGACAGACAGAGAGAGACATAGAGACAGAAAGTGAGAAATCACTCCCCAGGGGGGATGGTCACGCCGCAATCCCTTCTCCTCCATTCTCCTCTCGGGATCTTGGGCACGCATGCACACGCGCCAGGCGTGAGTTTTAAGCCACTGGGTCCGGGACGCAAACCGCGGTCGACTACATGGGAGTCCAGCGACATAGCCATTACACTAACCGCTGGTCCCTGCCCAGTGTTTTTCAAGCTGTTGGGCCTGAGACTTGAACTGTGCAGTCGGCCAGATGAGATCTGGCTCTCAGCCATCAGACCATGGGACCGGTTCCTGAGTTTAGGTTCTGAAGTCATGTTACCTGGTTTAAAATAATGCCCGTGGTATGTACCATATGCTTCTAATCAAGCGACTCAGGCTTTCTGTACCCGTTTCCACTGTAACGTGTGAGAAAGCAGGACCAATTATAGAGTTGTGACAAGGGTTAAGTAAACTATTCCAACAAAAAAATCTAGGGCAGTTTTCTGGTGTTATCTTCTATTATCTTCTATTATTTCTGTCTTCTGCTAGCCAAAAGAATGTACACAGAAATCAGAACATAACACTAGTAAGTTTATCATGTACTTTTATTAACAACTTAATACAAGACTGTACATTGCAGGTGCTCAAATCAACCCTCTCCTGAAAACTGAAAAACCAGCATTTCTATACCACCTCGGGCTTTGGTTGTAAGTGCCATTTTCTACAGCAAAATCACATAGTGTAACCAAATGACTTAAGAATGGGGGAAAAAGATATTCCACAGTAATACCGAGATTATTTATGCACAAACAGCTGACAATCATTTCTAGCTTTACGTGATTCACTACCAATCTGGAATGTTCAGTTCCCTTTTCTACAATCCTACAACCAGACATACAGCAACTAAGAACATGGCCACAGGTCCTGCCTAGACACTCATCAACATGAAACACAAAATATTTATATAAATAAAGTCACTTAAACTCACAACAACTAAAACACATGACAAACTCCATAGCCAATAAAAACTGTACAGTACTGGTCAGTCTCTTATATTTGAAAAAGTGTAACTTAAAAAAAAGTTCTGTGTTGTATAAAAAAAAAGTCTTTTACATCAGCGTTAGCTGGAGTGGAAACTTGAAGATTCCGACTCGGTTGAAACTGAAGAATGTCCACCTCGCTTTCCTTTGGAGAGGATCTTGAGGCTGGACCCTCGGCTCACAGAGGTGAGTGCGTGCTGGGCAGAGCTTTTAAATTTGGCTCCAAGGAAGGCATAGAGGATGGGATTCAGGCAACAGTGGAAAAAGGCGAGGGCCTCAGTGATGGAAATCCACTTGTGCACAGTGCTCTCAAACTCACAGCCTTGCTTGATGATCTCCAGGAGGATGAAGGAGTCGATGCTGATTCCAATGTAGTAGGGCAGCCAGCAGGCGAAGAACGCCAGGATGAGGATGACTGTGGTCTTCAGGGCTTTGCGCTTCTGGTGGCCCTTGGAGTGCGACAGTTTGGAGATGATGATGCAATAGCAGGACAGGATGACGATACCGGGCAGGATAAGACCAACCATGATGTGCTGGAACTGGAACACTACCACCCACAAGTCGTTGGGGTAGAAGCGGTCACAGATATATCTGTCTTCGGCCTCGCTGACATTGGCGAAGATGAAGTCAGGAATAGTCAGCAGCAGAGCAGGGATCCAGACGCCAACATAGACCACCTTTTCAGCCAGCAGTTTTCTGGGCCTCTGACTGTTGGTGGCGTGGACGATGGCCAGGTACCGGTCCAAACTGATGAAGGCCAGGATGAGGACACTGCTATAGAGGTTGACCGTGTAGATGACATGGACTGCCTTGCATAGGAAGTTTCCAAAGTACCAGTTTGCCACGGCATCCACGGCCCAGAAGGGCAGTGTGATGACAAAGAGGAGGTCGGCCACTGACAGGTGCAGCCTGTACTTGTCCGTCATGCTTCTCAGTTTCTTCTGGTAACCCATAACCAGGATGACCAATCCATTGCCCACGATGCCAGTCAAGAAGATGATGGAGTAGATGGTGGGCAGGAAGATCCGGTTGAAGTGGGCATTTTCCTCCCGGAAGCAAGGTTCCTTTATGGAGTCATAGTCCCCTGAGCCCAATTCCTCCGAGTAGTTATCCGAAGTGTATATCTGCAAAATAGGCAAGGGAAAGGGCGTTCACTGCCAAGTTCAGCACTCATGTTTTAAAAACTGCTTCTGGAACTTCACAACAAAAAAAGAATGAACAATGTGTAGAAGTCAGCTCGGGCTAGCCTTCTTCATGAAATTCTGACGTACTGGAGTAAAGGGCGCCAGAGAATGTGTCTAGAATCCTACAACCCTCCTCCCCTCCTCCCCCACAGCCCCTTCATTATAACCCTCTCGAGCAGAACCAATTACAAAATTCTTTGTTTGGAACAAAAGGGCGCTAAGATTCTGTGGGTTTCAAAGTCACATCTTGGCTGACTCTTCTGCCCCGCCCACTAGAGAGAAAGAAAACACATACACACAAAACGCAAAACATACACAAAGAGGCCACTCCCTCCCAGGCAGTGCGGGGGG